GATTCAGTTCAGAACTTATTAAGATGTAATGCTATAATCGAGATGGACAAGAAAAATTAAAAAAATCAACATCTTTTAACCCGTTTCCTCCTTTAAAACTGGATCATTTTAAATTGCTCCAGTGTCAATTCTGGGAAAAAACTGAGTAACACATGCTAAACTACACCTCCCCCCACTACAGATATTCTCTTAACACCTACTAGATGGTTGGGCTCATTTACTGTCTAAGAGTTCGCCTTTGTTGGTAGTGGAGCTACACTGCACCCGTACCCGGTACTGGGTTACGGTCTATGCATTTCATCTTAGTTTTCAGGTAACGTTCTTGTGGCATTTTTTAGCCCCCGACGAAAACAGAAGGGTGTTATAGGTTTAACGTTTGTATCTGAGTATGTCTGTGGCATCGAAGCGCCCAAACGGGCAAACCTATTTTGTATTTTGATTTACTAATTTCCCGATGCGCTGGTTGAAATTTTTAACATATCTCAAAATTGGACAATAATGTAAGAATATGAAATGAAAAAAAAAAAAAACAAAATGAAGAAGTTTTATACTTTTTATTCCATTTTAAAAACGTATATAAAAATACCGATTGCTTTGTTTAAAAATAAGGGAGCAGCCAGCTGTAATATCCTTGATCGATGAACAAATCAGCCGTACTTCAATACAACGGGAACAGGTCGCCGTTTTACTTCGATTATATGAAAGATAAATGGAACCCATTACCGACGGTTGCGTAACTTCGGTTTCGCAACTGGTCTGCTAGCGGTCCGGTACCGGTATTGTTAAGTTGCTCAAGCCTCAGTTGAGTTACGGTACGCGTTAATCATCTTGATTTGGTACGGCTGTTTGTTTTGTTCGCGGATTAACCGGTGATTATATGGTGTTGTTACGAATTAGTGTACCTTTGACCAATATATTATCGGTTTTTAAGTAGTGATAAGACGCTTAAATGTGAACGTATAGCTCCGGAAATTGTCTGTTTATTCATGAGTTATGATCTCGTGTTATAGGAATCTCGAAAGGCTGATGCAGCAAATGAATTCTAATCTGCCAATGTGTCTACGATAAACGATGAAGTAAATCACTGCACGCGTCGGTTCACGTCAACCTCGTAAGAATTACAATCCAACGGTTTGTCAAGTCATTTGGTTGTCAAATTTGAATGAAGAAACTAAGAAACAAGATTTTGCCGACGATATGGGGTACCTAGTAGGTATTCTTACATCGCCACTGTACGATTATAGTAATACCCATGTATAATTATATATATCACGTATATTATACAACACGTATATTATATAACACGTTTAATTTTTAATCTTAAAAAAACACGTGGTCAATTTAACCCTCCCTAACCTCTTTATCTTAAGATTTCCTCTAGTATTTCTTTACTTATGTACATATCGCATTGCGTACACTTTATATAAATTTGCAGAAGTAGTTTTGTATTGTTCGTTGTTGATCGAGTTTTTTTATATTTGTCCGTGAAGGCCAGTTGGTTTCGTTAAGGCAGTGGTTTGTTCCTCGGTCACGGTTTTTGTGTGGATTGCTGTTAAGGGCACTAGGAAGCGATTACACTTTAGTACTATTGTGAAACTTGAGCGAATTAACGCTGATCATGGTGAATTTTTCGGTCCGAATTATTAACTACGTTTCTAAGGTCAGTGGAGGGCGTTCGTAATTCGGAGAGCATTCGCTAAAAAGCATTCGGCGAGGCGTGTGGCGTAGCGATGTATGTCATACAAGTCGACACTGCAATACAAAAGCATTCTCCACGCTACACCCTCAGCTAAACACCCTCTTCTAACTCTTATAGCCTATACATAAGCTTAAGACGACACCGCGAAAAAATGCACCTCCTTTCATCGAATAGTATAGGACTATGACACCACTAACGAAAGTGGAATTTTGATATAGGTAAATTCATGTCTTTACCTTGAATTTGCTTGTTCAAAAACACGATTGTATAATTTTGACTCGATCATAATTATTTGCGAAAATATCTCTAAAAATCACTATAAGTCGATATTACAACGAAATTACTTAATCTATTCCTTGGGAATCACTCAAATGTATTCATAACATCAATATTCATAATTTACTTGCTCATTATTTTGATTACTTAAATCAATAATTTTTAAAAAAATATTTTAAGATTTTGACAATTTCTAAGCGGTTTTAATCGTTGCGGGCGCTACGCAATTTAAGACCTTATGACGGCGTTTTTTGAGTTTTTATAGAAAATGATGTATTCACTTGGATCAGTACGGCGATAGCCCGGAGCCAATTTTTCGATGTGTCGTCTTAACGCTAACGCTAGGGTTTTGCATGTCTTTCTTTATAAGACCGTCACTACATCTGAGAATCTTTATTTCCCGTCAGGTGTCGCTTTTTTGAGCTCGTCAACTATAGGTTTTGTTCATAGAGTAAGGGGTGACAAACAAGCACATAATCCACTTGACCTTAAGTGGATGTGTATGAAAGACGTTATTAAGCACTCATATAATGAACAAAATGGGTTAGCCGGTGTTTTTGAACTCCATATAAAGTCAAAACGTATTTTCAGTAGTGGATCAAATTGAAAATTACCGTTGCTGAATCATCTTTGTTATATCGGAAGAACAGTTTTGATCTTGTCCTTCTCCAGACCGAATTTCGGTCACGGCGGCTGCCTCAACGGAGACTAGCTATCAGCGCAGGACAGGATTATAGTGCCCAAGTGTATGCGCAAGCACAGCTGCACTCTCTATTCCCTCGTTGTTTGTCATCTACTATGGGACTACTTTTGTTTATCCCATGCAGGTTTCGGGCCTCGAGGAGTACCCCATTACCCGCGTAATACTCACAACCCATATCTATGGGCCGGTCTTGGGAGCCGTACAAGTACGACATTGTAAGTAATCTTCGTTGGCGTATTGCGCGACACCAGGTCGGTGCTACCGGCAGAAATTGGCGTATCTCGCGCTTCTGGGAAGGGTCAGCAACCTCCAGGTCCCGTGGAGACGCATCTTGACGCGGAGCCGAAGTCACCAACAGGCGCGCGCTCACCAGCAGCGCGCCGGGCCTTCGGAGTTCGCTTCCCAGCGTGTAGGTGAAACGCAGCGTTAGGTGATCTTCATCCCGGGTGGGGTCAGGGGCGTCCTCAAGGCTCCACGCAAGCTGAGTTGGCCCCACAGCACGTGCACCCACTGCGAAGCGACTGTACTTCTGCGCTGTACTTCTCCCAACCGGGCGGGAGTCGACGACGGGCGTCGAGACCGCTCACTAGCGCGGTCCGGACGAGACTCATCTATTCCCTCACCCTCATAATCCGATGGGACGGTAAATCGACACGACCGGAGAGAGATCATGCGCGGGACCAACGGCTTCACGTGCTTTCCGAGGCACGGGGATGAAACACCGCCAACTTCCTGACTCCGGGCAGCTACTGAGAATTTCTTGACGGAAAGATTCAATAATTGTTTTTTTAGCTGGAGCAGGGATTCGATCCCCGGACCTCATGATCAGCAGTGGCACTACTACAACCACTAGACCAACGAGGCAGTCACAGTTTTGATAACGCAAAATCGTCACAATCTGAACGTCTATTTTTATGTAAGACGCGTTGTATGAAACTGGGAGTTGTTTAATTACATTCGCTTTTCCATATGAACTTATTGCGAACACAAGGGGATTTTTGTCAAAAAAGGTCTGTCCATTGAAAAGCGTATAACAAGGAATTTGTTAAGTTCTTTCGAGTAGGTCGGGTTTTTTTTTCGTACACTTGAGTGTTTTGATCAGGGTTGTCATCAAGAGACATTACATTATTTATTAATAATACTAGCAGTGCCATTTAAATTTAACTATTTGCGGGTTCGAACCTACCTCCTTTTAGTTTCACAGTTTGTAACATTTATTATAGAATTCTACTGTAGCTTAACTTGTATAAATCTATTGATATTCGAACTTTAAGAAACTACATTTATTATGCAACTTTATATCGAGTAATATTGTCCGATGTAGTAGTTTCTGTAAGTTTAATGAATACATGAACGTAACAAAACGGAACTATGCATCGAGTAACATGTTATTTCTGACAGCCCTATTTGAGAAGATTCCCCAAATTTTTATCCACCACGAAATAATATTCCTTTGAATATTTATTTTAAGTAACTTCAAATATCGTCGTTGGTTAACTAATATTTAATTGACAAAGTGCATTTACCGTTAGTTTATTTTTCAAACAAACAAACTTCATTATTTATGCTAAGAAACTAAGTAGTGTGCAGATGGTTGTTATTTTCTTACATTTTTCATTATTTAAACAACACACAACTAAAATCTAAGTAGACAGATGCAGTAGGCGGTTCCTGATTTGTATCCTAGGCATGTGCCAAAGCGGCTCATTAATTACATCAATTGTCCCGGTGACTTCATCGAAACATTGACCTTTTCACGGATTAGGTTGTTCCTCTCTCGCTCCGTGTGTGTATATACTTACGCATTCGTTATCATGCTATCATTTAGCGATTGTTGCCATTATGCCCGACCCCGAGCATAGTCAGTCTCAGTTCTCAGTCGTTTGCTGGCTACGGACGTGTACGGACGTGCGTCGCGTGCTCTCTAAATAACTTATAAATTTCAAATATCAGTACGAATGCTTAACGTAAGGTTAAGTAGAACCGTGCTGTCGTCGTTTTTGTACGATTCTAAATTTCCGCGACCGGTCCGACTTGAAATCAATTTGTGCAATGATGCACAACAACGTTTCGCAGTTCACAAATGACGCTTTGTGAGTCGGTGTTCTTAATGTGTCAGCAATAAGTGCTTTTGTTGTGTTATTCAAAGGATTGCAGTGCTAATATAATGGCTGTCGGAGTTTAGTTTGCTTTGGAAGGAGAAGTTCTTTAGTGGGAGCGAGGGGAACAAGTGTCGGGATGTACGAGGTATCCTGCGTGGCCGGGAATAAAGTAGACGCTGCTTACGCAGTTAAAAGCCTGTCGAACGTAATACCACCAGGCATGGGGCACACGGTGTCGGTGCAGCGCCACCATGCGCACTCACAGTCATATAAACACAAGCCTGAACTTCCACCGCCTGTTAGTAAGCCCGACGCTTTGAAGTCCCACGTGATGAGGCTGCTGAAACGCTCTAAGAGTCACACGCCGGCCACAAGGGCGGCGGAAATCCAAGACGATCCGCGCAACTTTGACAGGAGGACCGTGTTCTCCCGTCCAGTAGCGGACGAGCAACGGAGGCGCAGGAACTCCGCGGAGAGGCGTCGTAGTGCCGATAAACGAGTGATGGTGACCATAGTGGACGGACTACCGGTCGTGGTGACCGGGCAGAATCATATCCCACCGCCGCCGCAGCATCCGCCACCCGTGACGCATCATCGACACTCGCACAGAGATAAGGTAAGTCTTGATATGGATCTACATATTTGCTAGTTCCGCGAACTATTACGAACACTGGAATCGTACAGAGTTGTTTTTAATTACTTGCTCTTTACATTAACGTCTAACAGAGGTTTTAAATAGATCTGTTTTACGTTAATATCGTATACGAGCTCAAATATAAAATATCTGCAAAGTACAAGGTGGTGATCAAATAGTTTTAACTACGTAGTTCCTCAATTAAGGCCTTTTACGGTTATTAAGGTCTGAAGCGAGTGGAAATAACGCGTTAATTGATGTGCAAGTAGTTCTCAATGAATTCCTTACGTGGCTTGGATCGAGTGAGTAGATTTTATTATATTTTTTTTTTTTGCACAATAATTATTTAATTTAAATGATATATTGAATTATAACCAATCATGATACTATATTATGTATATCTAATAGAAAAGAAACATTTGAAAAAAGAAAATTAATTCATTTGGTTTGGTTCGTTATCAAATGTTAAACTCATGCTAATTTATTAAGCACCAACGTAGACTAAGTGTACATTGATTAAAGGTAAACACCGCATGCTTAGTTCTCACAGCGTTTGTTACAAATTTAAAGTCATCAGATTTAAGTAAATGTAATTTCTACTAATTGTAATTTAACTACTACTAACTAATTTGTAAAAAAACACTAAACTACTTTTTTATATAAGTAAGCATTTAATAGTCTGCAAATTCTGGGTATTGGGGTCCCTGGTACAATTCTTACGATGTATACGAATATAAGCACCTAAGTAGATCTTCATTGTCGGTCGTCAACAGTTTTTACATCTCAGCAAAAGATGTAAAGACTGTTGCAAAGAGGCATAGTACCTTCCAACACGTGTCTGCTGGCGTGAATTACTTTTAGGATTCTCTTAAGCGGTCTCAGCTATTTTAGATGAATTTCCAAGAGGAATTAACTGTCAAATTCTCCTCTATAATTCGTATCAACATGGTACGTGAAAATTTTAATATTATGAAAAAAAAAAGACATTCTAAAATATTACAGATTTATACTTACTACTTACTTACTTATCTTCACGCACAATCCCTAACGGGGTAGCCAGAGAGAACAGATCGCCAAGTGTCACGATCCTTACATACCTCTTTCGCTTCTTTCAGGTTCATTAACTTCTTCATACATGCACGTCTAGGTATCCGAGTACTCTTGACCCTCCCCTTTTCGAGCAATTTGCTCACATGGTCTTCGAAAGTTAGTCTCGGTCTACCTCGACACCTTTTAATATTTACTTTCGCTCTATATATTTTCTTCACCATACGGTCTTCACTCATTCGTTCAACGTGCCCAAACCATTGGAGTACGCCCCTATCAATTTTTGTGATAAGGTCATCTTTCAATCCTGCCATATTGCGAATCTCTTCGTTTCGCTTTCGATCGGCTAAGGTAACGCCACACATTTTACGAAGAGATCGCATCTCCACTGCATTCAACTTGCTTTTATGCTTCTTCTGGCATACCCAGGTTTCGCTGCCATATAACAAAGTCGGTACCAACACTGCATTATGTATTGCAAGGCGTGCACTCTTCACCACGCCTTGCCTTTTTTACTAATGCATTCAGGGCACCATTGACTTTGTTTCCGGCAGCGACACGCCTATCCACATCTAAATCACATCTTCCATCCCGGCTGAAAGCACTCCCCAAGTATACAATTTCATTTACTGTTCTAGACATTCCTGATTTACCCATATTTCACATTTCGTTCTTTCTTCGTCCTTTTCAAATATTACAGATTTATCGCTTTATATTATATATATTCAGTATAGTTGTCACGAAAACTTGTTGGGATATCAGAAAGATGATGCTGCCCAGGCATACATAAACACTCACAAGTGTCACCCTGACTGAACTGATATACATAAAACAACATACAGTAAAGATGCATGAAGCAGTAACTATAAGATAAAAAGAAGAGTATACATGAGAGTACAGATATTGTAAAAAGTAAATTTGCTAGTCATCAGTAAACGAAGCAATCAGCTAATATAATATTTTTTATAGAATTAGGGTGACAAACGAGCACACAGTCCACCTGAAGGTAAGTGGATGCTGTGGCCCATAGACATCTACATTTAACCTCGATTAAGAAACAAAATGCAGATGCGTTGTCACCCCTGAGGACTAAGGTAGAATACCTCGAATCCAGTAAAACGGGTCTCCGGTTTTCTACGCTCACCATACGAAACACAGCAGCATCAAGCTGCTATTTTACGCTGGTATTATGTGAGAGCGTTAAGCTGTCGTTAGAACTTCGCAATATAACGCATCAGCAAATTATGAACAATTTTGTAAATAAAATTTACAACAGGCTAGCCTTAAACTTTTTAATATTTCCACTGAAAGACACTGCATCCATGGTCATGTAATAAACTTTTAAAAAAAAAAACTAACTACTTTTAAAAATAAGTTAAATTTGGCGGTGATTTTGATATCAACTCAACCAAAACTACATATTAAGTTTAATTTATTATTGTGTAAACTTAAGCAACGCGTAATGGATAAATCCGTTGGTACCACTATTGAGAAAATAAAGCTGCAAGAACGGTCGTTCCCCGGTCGAGCTGACACTTTCGTGCTACAACCATAATATAGCTGCAGCGTGGCTCTACCACGTATAAGTATATATTATATGATGAAGGTGAATAATTTGATAAAAATATATTCGTTAGACTTCCATTTTGCATGATCCTGACAAAATTCTTTCACTTCCTTTACGTCCATATATATGCTCGGCATACAACTTGTTGGTATTTTCCACGTTTTAGTTTCCGGTGTTGCCTCTTACGAATCACACCCACAGGGTATTAAGGGGTAGTGGAATTTCTCTCACGCCGCCACTACACGGCAAATATACGGATACGAGATGTAGAAAACACCAAACTGGATGCTATATATATTAGAACATGGACCTTGAAAATATAAAATATGCCATAATTAAGGCACTAAGTCCGCCCATTGTACCCTTAGTATAGTCTTGTAATAGATTAAATAAATATAATACATACATTGCAACATTTAACGCTCCATTCCGCTGTCATATATACCTAACGTTCTCCATACGTGGCATGAGATCGTTAGCCCAGTTATAGTTAAGTGATTTTACGGCACACATTGATTTATTAAACGCTAAAACAAAGTGCTGTTATGAAATCCATTTGGGCGGTGATTAAAAGTGGCCGATGTGTGGCCGATGGACAATTTTGTGTTCCATGCGCTTTAAATAAAAGTTACGAAAAGATTAGGAAACAAATCAGGGGATGGGCAGCAGCGTCTTCCTATTACGACTAAAATTAAATAAACTGCTGTTGTCAACTTGCTTGCCAAGTGTGGCAACTATGGCAAATATCCCCCCCGTGAAGCAATCTATAGGAAAGGCAGTAGACTGACTTTAATAGGCTGTAACGCTATATACACTCACCGGCACGGAAACTTGGCCACTCGTGAATTTGCTGATTATTTGCACTGAAACGTTTTTTTAACAGTAAATTAAGGGTAGATGCATTCAATAAGTGTCTCTAATGGTTTTAGAACATAGAAATTTAATGTTTACTTCACCGAAATTTTTCTTTTCAAGATAACATGTTTTCACTAAAATTAACATCTTTCTATTGTCACTTTAAAAACACTACAAAGTTAAAAATTAAGTCTGTTTCTTTATTGTCTATCAGTTTTAATATCGGGTGTTTCCTCCTCTAGCCCTGATAACCGCTTGCATTCGATCTGGCATGCTTTGAATGATGTTTCTGACATCAACTTGCGGTATGCTGTCCCAAGCGGCCAGCGCTGCATTTCGGAGCTCATTTAGAGTTTGTGGCGGTTTGGAGCTGGACTTTATCTTTCTTTTGAGCATACCCCATACATGCTCAATTGGATTTAAGTCCGGGCTACGAGCTGGCCACTATAATTTTTGTATTCCAACCTCTTCCAGATATTCCTCTACACAATGTGCGACGTGCGGGCGTGCATTATCGTGCATGAGGAGGAATTGGTCGTGTCCAATGAATCCCGAATAAGGCATTACGTGCTCCTGAAGAACTTCCTCGATGTATCGAGTAGCTGTAAGCCGATTATCGACGATGACCAACTCTGTACGTGCGTCGGAACTTACACCTCCCCATACCATTATTGAGCCTCTATGGAAACTCACAGTTTGGGTGGTGGTAATGGGTAGAAACCTCTCTCCTCTTTTTCTCCACACTCGTTCTCGACCGTCTGGAGCACGTAAAGCTATTCGACACTCATCTGTGAACAACACTCTAGCCCATTGCTCGTGGGTCCAATTGACATGTTCTCTTACGAACTGAAGTCGGGCTACTCGGTGCTGTCTGAGAAGTTCTGGACCTCGTGCTGGTCTACGAGCTTTTAAATTCACTTCCTCCATTCGTCTTCTCACCGTACGCTCACTAACATTAACGCCTCTTGCGATTTGGAGCCGCTGGCGTATCTCAACAGCGGTCAGGTAGCGGTTTCTCAAAATCTCCATAACAATAAAACGATCGTCCCGGGCCGATGTGCACCTTACGCCCCCACTGCCTGGCCTGCGGGTGTAGCGGCCTGTCTCCTGGTATCGTTTCAGTGAATACTGCATTGAGGACCGTGGTACGTTAAGCACAATAGCAACTTCACGCTGTGTCAGCCCTTGGTCAATTAATGCTACTGCTTGTGCAACTTGTGCTGGTGTTAATGGCATTTTTATTGGCTTTAAAGCACCTTTAGTTATTTAATTAAGACACAAGATCACAATAATTGAATAACCTTACAGTAAACTTTTCACAACACACAAATTTAAAATGTGAACTTAGTCGCTCAAATGACCCGATTCAACTAAAAATTAAAGAATTCGTCATGGTGCACTTAAACATAATGAATTACCCTCTTGAACTTGAGGGTAAACATTTTTTGACATACTTGCATAACAAACATTCATCAGAAACACTTAAAGCTTTTGCTATCGCAAGATAACCGCTTGGCCAAAGTTTCCGTGCCGGTGAGTGTATATA